CTGTTCCACTGCTCAACCACTCTTACAGTTAGGAAGTTTCTCCTGATATTTAGCCGGTAACGACTCCCTTGTCCTTTCCACCCATTAGATCTAGTCTTGCAACCCGGAGCAAGAGAGAATAGTTCCGCTCCACCTTCTACATGACAGCCCTTCAAATACTTGAAGACTGCAATCATGTCCCCTCTAAGCCTTCTCTTTCCCAGGCTAAACAGACCTAACTCTTTCAGCCTTTCCTCGTAAGACTTGGAACCCAACCGTCTCACCATCCTGGTCGCCCTCTTCTGGACACGCTCGAGCTTGTCAACATCCTTCCTAAAATGTGGTGCCCAAAACTGGACACAGGACTCCAGGTGAGGCCTGACCATAGCAGAATAGAGCGGGCCGACCACCTCCCTTGATCCGGACACGATGCTTCTGTTAATGCATCCTAAGATTGCATTTGCTTTCTTTGCAGTCACATCACACTGCAGGCTCATGTTTAGCTTGTGACCAACCAGAACACCCAGGTCCCTTTCACATGTGCTGCTGTCAAGCCGAGCATCGTGGGAGCATTTGCCCGGCTGCCTCTCCGGTCCGCCCCTGTGGGTTTTCCTCTGCACCCCCCTCCCACCCCAGGGTGCCTTGCAGTGAGGACACACCAACTCGGAGCTTACCGGCTGCTGTCCTTTATACATTTTATATCTCCTGTACCTGGCATTACGTTTTATGGCACACACGGCCCGGCTTAACAAAGTGAAATTCGTGTCAGATCGAGTTTGACCCCCTCCGTTCTACGCCCTCCCTCCTTTCACTCGCCCTGTTTCCTCCCGCATGATAGGAAGACTGAGTCACCTTCCCCCTGTGAGGAAAGAGGTCAGGGCTCTCTGTCACTCACCTACCCACATCCCGCCCACAACGGAGTCCCCTTCTGGGGGCCCTCGCTCTTCTGGCTGTGAATAAGCGGGGCTGGTCACCCCTTCGCTCTTTCAGTCAGACCGGCAAACTGGGACTGCTGCTGCACCAGAGGTCTGCAGTGCAATAAATCCCACCTGCCGTTTCTCTCCCAGTCGCTGCTGGTCTGGCCTGGAGGGTTCAGCATACTGCAAATAGGCAATTCAGTATAAATTAAGACGCTTCATTGGGTGCCCGTGAGTCTGACTGTAAGGAGAAGCGCCCAGGGGTCATTTCCTGCAAGAGCACACAGGAGCGGAGCTCCGGCAGTAAGGAGCCAAGGGGTCGGGCACATGCAACAAGCCCCGCCCCCTGCTCCCAGCAGCCCTCAGTCAGAGCAAGAAGCAGCCAGGTAAGTCCTTGCTGTAGCCAGTTTGGTGTAGTGGTTAAATGCGCGAACTCTAATCTGGGAGAACCGGGTTTGATTCCCCACTCCTCCACTTGCACGTGGCTGGGTGACCTTGGGTCAGTCACAAGCTCTGGCACAGCTGTTCCTGAAAAAGAGCAGTTTGTGTCAGAGCTCTCTCAGCCCCACCCACCTCACAGGGTGTCTGTTGTGGGGAGGGGAAGGGAAAGGAGATTGTAAGCCGCTCTGAGACTCCAAGTGAAGGGCAGGGTATAAATCCAATCTCTTCTTCTCTTCTTCTTCTATATGCAAATAAGTTACACTAATGAGTTATGCTAATGAGCTCCTGCACCTCTTTTTCTACGAAATGACCCCTGGAAGCGCCTTCTACCCACCTTCTTCCCTGACCTGGATGACCCAGGTCAGCCTGATCTCATTGGATGTTGGAAGCTAAGCAGGGTCGGCCCCGGTTAGTCCTTGGATGGGAGACCACCAAGGAAGCCCAGGGTCGCTATGCAGAGGCAGGCAAGGGCAAACCACCTCTGCATGTTTCTTGCCTTTATCCAGATGACCCAGGCTAGTCTGATTGTGTCAGATTTCGGAACCCAATCTGGGTCGGCTCTGGTTAATTCATGGATGGGAGACCACCCAGGAAGCCCAGGGTTGCTACGCAGAGGCAGGCAAGGGCAAAACCACCCCTGTTCGTCTCTTGCCTTGCTCTGGATGGCCCAGGCTAACCTGAAATCATCAAATCTCTGAAGCTCAGTGGGGCCAGCCCTGTTTAGTACATTGATGGGAGACAGACCGTCAAGGAAGTCCAGGGTTGCTCTGCAGAGGCAGTCAAGGGCAAACCGCCCCTGTTCGTCTGTTCCCTTGAAAACCCAACAGGGTCGCCCAAAGTTGGGTAGGACTCGACAGTAAAATAAAAATATAAAAATAAAAATGAAGAAAACTTCATTAGGTGCCCCCAAGTTCTAGTGTTACGGGAGAGGGTGAAACAATTCTATCCACTTTGGTGTCGTGGTTGAGTGCGCGGACTCTAATCTGGGAGAACCGGGTTTGATTCCCCCACTCCTCCACTTGCACCTGGCTGGATGACCTTGGGCAAGCCGCAGTTCTGATAAGAGCTGTTCTTGAAAAGAGCCGTTTCTGTCAGAGCTCTCTCAGCCCCACCTACCTCACAGGGTGTCTGTTGTGGGGAGGGGAAGGGGAAGGAGATTGTAAGCCGCTCTGAGACTCTGAGTGAAGGGCGGGGTATAAATCCAATCTCCTCCTCCTCCTCCTCCTCCTCCTCTTCTTCTTCTTTCTCCATCCAATGCATCATTTTAGATATGACACTGAATGAAGGAACCTGAGTAAACAAGAGATCTGTTTCTTTTCCTGGAAAGTGACACTTCTCACAATTCCTGGGAGAGAAACCGGCTTAATTGGTTCAGACAGCCATGTTTGGTAATCACGGCCAATGGGAACATAAGAACATAAGAACATAAGAGATGCCAATGTTGGATCAGGCCAAAGGCCCATCCAGTCCAACACTCTGTATCCCACAGTGGCCAGAAATACCAGTGCCATCAGGAGGTCCACCAGTGGGGCCAGGACAGTAGAAGCCCTCCCACTGTTGCCCCCCCCCCCAAGCACCAAGAAGACAGAGCATCACTTGCCCCAGAGACCCTATCTATACCTTGTGGCTAATAGCCACTGATGGACCTCTGCTCCATATGCTTATCTAATTCCCCTTTGAAGCCGTCCATGCTTGTAGCCGCCACCACTTCCTGTGGCAGTGAATTCCAAGTGTTAATCACTCTTTGGGTGAAGAAGTACTTCCTTTTATCCGTTCTAATAACCTGGAAACCTGGAACCTGGAAACTTTGGGTGTCGGTCTCCCTGCGACATGAGAGAGGAGGGAGGGATTACGTGAGCCCGAAGGTCATCTGAGGTCACACCCATCGTGGACAAATCCGAGCTTGTGTGTGACATGTGAACAGAGCCCCAGAAGAGGGTAAACCACGTGTCTTTTTCTCCAGATCTCCCCGGCCGTCGGGAGGTACAAGTGCTGACTGCACAGAGCCCGGATCTCTGTGTGTTGGGTTTAGCAAGTCAAAACACTTCAGTAATTATAGAGTTAACTTTGTTAATCAACAGGAAGTCACATGTGTCTATTGTAACCAGTCTGTTCTCAAGTGAGAAAAGCGTGCAAATCTTGTAGGCGGTCTTAGTGAAATGACCTGAATTTAAGCGTTGTGATTGGAAAAATCAGTGTATTGGCTGTTTTGCATATTGGGGTCTCTTCCTTGTCTTTGTTTGCTTAGAGATGTGACGCCATTCTTGTAGTGTAGTTTTCTAGCTGGAAACATGTAGGTCTTAGAGCAGGGGGGTCAAGCTTGCGGCCCGGGGGCTGGATCAGGCCTCTGGAGGGCTTCTATCAGACCCGCAGTGGAACTGGCTGTCTTCTGCTTCGTCTTCCTGTTCTGCTGCTGTTGCGTCATTGTAGGTTTGCAGCTTACAGATACACACCCAAACAGCATACTCAAGATTGCAACAGCACAGACATTTCGATGCAGTCATTCAGAGCAAGAGGTGTCGGTTATCAGACACTGTTAAATGAACAAAACATTGCAAGAGTGCTGATGTTTTAAGCATGTTTTTATTTTTTTGTGTGTTTGTGTCCTTTATAAAGTTTATATCTCTGCTACCTGGCATTACATTTTACGACACACGTGGCCCGGCCCGACAAGGTCTCATCTATGTCAGATCCGGCCCTCATAAGAAATGAGTTTGACACCCTTGACCTAGAGTTTGTTGTTTTCAAACCCTGTTTACCTTTTCCCGGTTAGTTCAAGTAAAGTCATTTTCTTTTTCAAACCTACACACGGACTCTGACTGTTTCTCGTTGCCCTGCTGATTTAGTCTCTGCTCAAGAATATTTTTTCTAAGAATACCCTTCAGGTTACGGGCCCAGGACAAATCCGAGCTTGGGTGTGTGTGACATGTGAACTGAGCCCCAAACTACGTGTCCTTTTCTCTAGATCTCCCCGGCCCTCGGGAGGTACGGGTACGGACTGCGCAGAGCCTGGGTCTCAGTGTGACTTGGACGTTCAGCCCCAGCCCTGGGGGGGTCCAACCTGAGCAGTTTGTGGTGGAGTGGAGAGAAGAGATTTCCGGGGAGTTGTTGGGTTGGATCCCCCAACCTGTGGAGAGCAGAAGCACCCTCCTGAGAGGTGAGCGGAGTGGGGAGGGGAGAGACACGGTGCTTGCAAATGGGGGGAAGGAGTGGAGGAGGCAGGGTGGGTGACCAGATGCTGGTTTATGTTGGGGGGATGCTCGTTTGGGGCAGGTGGGATGCAGTCTCCCATCTGCTCAACTCTGCCGGTCTCCCATCTGCTCAACTCTGTCTTGTCGTTCCCTCTTCCCAGGTGGCTTCAGACCCAAGGAGCCCTACCTGGTGTCCGTTTATGCGGCCTATGCTCAAGGAAGCAGCTCCTCGGTGCCTGTTCGAGCCTACGTCCAGGAAGGAGGTAACCCCAATATGTGCCGGTCTGGATTGGTTTTAATATGGGGAACGCTCCAAAAGGGTGTCCCGTTCCGCTGCCTGCCCTTACCTATCTGGCCCAAGCTAGCCAGATCTCATCGGATCTTGGAAGCGAAGCGGCGTGAGCCCTGGTTAGTACTTGGAGGGG